CCAGAGGCAGCGTGAGGGGCTGAGGTGGTGTGTGAGCGCTGTGGCAGTGCGACCAGCACGCGCCTCGCTGTCCCCTCTTCCTCACGCACTCACGGCACTCCCCCTCTCCCAGGTTAGTGGTTAGCTCTCCCGGGGGCACCGTTACATTAATAGGCCTGGCTCAGGTTGCACACGCAGGCAGCCGCTGCAGTCTGCCAGTCATCGAGGAAGGAGAGCGGACAGCAGCTCGGCAGACTTCATCAAGGCTGGTCTGAGCCGTTGGTGTCCAGCTGAGTCCAACTGCCAAATAGATACTGAATGCGCATCTTTTTCTGGAGTGATTTCAAGAGCAGGAGACTTACAATAGATCAACCTACAGTTATAGGAAGTGCTTTGATAACATAAGACAGTTTTAAAAAACAAATTGTGCCTATCTAGCTCACTTGCATGTTAGTAGGTAATTGATCTGAAGTTCTCGTCTAGATGTATCTTGAATGAAGCCAGGGTATTGGATGCTCTCACTAATCTTTGTGCAAAGAAATGTCACCTGTCCTCAGTTGTAAATGCACTTCCTTCGAGTTTGTGCTTGCGTCCTCTAGTTCGTTTTTCCCTGTGGATTCTGAAGAATCCTTAGTGTGAACTCTTAGTGTGAACTCTCCCAATGTCTTTGGGGATGGTGCCCAGGAAATGTCCTTCTTTCACAAACAGGGTGCCAGCAGTTCTGCCTGCAGCAGTATCTCGAGGAGGTGAAAAGCTGAGGCCATCATGTAGCTGACATGCAATGCACCTTTTGTTACCCTACAAAGAACCCGTGCCTTTTGACACTCTTCCAGCTCCCCAAAAAGAAAAAGACTTTGACACGAACAGGTCGCTCACTTTGTTTTAGAGATAGTGAGATCATAAACTCGCCTCTTCTGTTACAAAGAGGGATGAGGTCATTGTCTGTTTAGGATGAACTTTTTCTCACCTTTTTTTGTCAGAAAGATTTGCAAACAGCACTGAAGAGAAGCACAGGAAGCTAGACGCTGCTGAGGACAGACTTGGCACCCAGTCAACAGGCTGTCAGTTACTGCCTGCAGCTCATTGCTTTATCTGCTGGTGAGCAGCTCAGAGAGCTCTCCGACTCACAGCAAAGTTCTGATGTTGTCAATGTGGCACTCTGATCTGCCAGAATCGAACGAGAATGGATTCTAGTGGGAGGAAGAAAAACACGGTTATTGACACACTGTGCATCGGCAGAATTTTACAACCACCTGCACTGTCTGCCCAGGGCTGAGAGGTTTCTATAAATGATAGAAGAGAAGGAGATTCACAAAGCACTGAGAGAGAGAGAGAGAGTGTGAATGGGAAATGGAGAATGAAAGAGAGAGGGAGAGAGAGGTTGTGGGTGAGCTAAACCCACAAAGTCCCGAGGCTGCAGTAATTTGAGCTGGTCGACAATTAATCATGGTGATAAATAATGAGCTGCTGTCGCACAGAGCTAATTACTCAACACTGTCCTGATGTGGGAGACTGTAAATCATCATCTGACCGGTCTGCAGCCGGATTGCTGTGACGGCGCCTGAGAGCATCTGTTGTGCCCACTGTTCTCCCAAAGGAAGGGACAGACAGACCAGCCCATGGGGCCTGGAGAGAGCCAGGACAGGACAGGACAGGGCCAGGCCAGGCTGGCGCAGCGTGCCGCTGGTTCAGACCTCCAGCACAGGAGAAGAGAGAGACTGCGTTTCCGCTGCTGGCACTAGATACCTAAATCAGGGGTCATGAGTTTGCCTGAATAGCTGTCAGCAATGAAGATAAAAACAGGTTTAATAGCTCGGTACTTCTTAACCTGCCTTTACGTAAGTTAATCTGCTCATAAACACACCCACATTATCAGAAGCCTCCATGAGTAATGTGCTGGAGAAGCTCAACCTGCTCCGGGAGCGGATTCAGAGACTGCAGGAGAACCAGTGGGTGGCGCTGTCGGGGAGAAGATGCCCTACAAGGGAGAACTGGAGCCCCAGTAAAATGACAGATGTGGCCAATTGGCACGGTTTTCCACCTTGCTCTGCCACACCTTCACCCCGATTCTTCAGGCTTCACTGTGATCTCTCTCCCCTGCGGGAAGGAGAAGGAGGCTTGAGTGTGCTGCCCAGCTGTCATACGGACATGAGGGTCTAACAGTGTGTTTGACGCAAAACCTGGGGGAAGGACTCTGCTCCTGGAAAGCTGTGTGATGGATCGCTCAGAAATGGGAATTCCTTTTTTTTGGTCTGAAAGCCGTATGGAAACAAGGCTGCCATTTTTCTGAGGTTGCTGTATCAAGAGACGAAGGCAAACACTAAAGCTGCTGTCTGCTGCACATCGCAAACCCCACACAGGACGCTCTGCACCTGTGGAATTAACTGCCACTGGTGGCTTAAACACCCATCACCTCCCCTCAGCGTCTGCACTCCTGGTCTCACTGGATCAGTCTGTGCTGCTTTACTCCTTTCCTTTGTCGCCCTGCTGTGTTGACCTGGGCTATTGTACGGAGCTTTGAGTTTCTCAACACGTTTGTTCGATAATAATGCACTGGTGGGATTTTGACACGTTGCCAGCTCCACAGCCGCTGGCAGGGTGCCACACGACCTGCAAAGGCGACGCAACGTTCCCGGCGCTTCGGGTTTGTAATATTTGCCTGCTGGCTGAATGAAGGATGTGATTCATTCCGGGCCAGCAGAATTCTTACGGACAGCATGGAGGCTCTGCATACACTGGAGGCCTGCAAGGGGTGATGGGAAGAGTGGGAGACACTGAGCTTCCTGGGATCAGTGTCACACACCCCCTGAGCAGTCAGCAGGCTGCCGAAGGGCTCGGAGAGCTCTCATGTGGCTCTTTTCTGATGTCCACTCTACCAGGCCAGTCAGCTGCTCCTGTGGTCGCGCGGTGGTTTTTTGTCTCCTGTGCTGTTCAATGGGATCTTGCAGGCGGTAGCTCTTGCGATGGCTCTGGGCAGCACGGGGAGACCGGAGAGGCGCGCAGTCGGAGGCGAGCTCCGCGTTTGAAGAGGGTGAGCGAGGGAGGGGAGGGGAGGCGCTGGGCAGCCCCCCAGGCGCCGGGCTGTCTCGTGCCAGTAAGCCAATCCCCAGCGGCCTCTGCCTGCGCCTTTACAATGGCAGGGCATTCTCCGGCTCCTGAGCCAGCACAGATACCCATCTCCCTCTCCTCTCCGGCTCCCAACAAAGGGACACCTGTGTGTGCGGCCTCGCCCCCTCCCGCTCCAGTCCGCCCCTACCTCCCTCGCCTGCGCGGTAGGAAGGAGGGGCGCTGTTCTGTTCTACCTTCTCCCCTCTGGACCTCTTGCACGGTCTTGAGCTGTCCATCAGAAACTCTGGGCTCCTCCTCTTATGAAGTCTCCTCTGAGTCTGGGCCTCAGCAATCTGCATCACTCTGGCTGAAGAAGAGTTTCTTATTCTGGATTATTCTAATCTATTTGACCCTATCTTTAGATCTTCTAGTATTTTAAACACCAATTGCATCTGATTTTCCTGTGCTCTAGACTGAAGGGATTTAGTTCCTTGAACACGTCTAGGACAATCCCTTGAGACTAGGAATCATTCTAGTCACTCTTCACTGAGCTCATTCTGCACTGTGATAATGATAACGTTCTTTTGTTCTGTGTGGTGATCAGAACTGAATACATTTTATGAACGCTGAGTGGGTTTTGACATTTCATCAATTGTATTATGCAAGATGAGACCACATGCAGAAGATCAGACATTCTCAGATATCACACACCCACTCGCCCACACGCGCACACAGGGACAGTTACAGACAACAACTCATCCAGCCTGAACATCTCTGAGAGCTGAGAGGAAATGGAAACACCAAAAAAGTGTTTCCTAAAGAGCCATCTCTGTGTGCTGTTGTTTGAGTTAACAATTACGGTTTATATGTCTTGCAGTGTACTGCTTTTGTTTCATTTGGAAGTTGTCTAGCCTACCATAAAATGGAGTGTTTTGGAAATTGTTGAACATATCACAAAATAGGAAACAAATGCATTTATTATTGATGTTGCAAGGAAGCTATAGTTATTTTTATCAAAACTAATCTGTGCACTGTGTACAGCCCTGATACTTATTTTTCCGTTCATCCGTTTTCTGACAGCTTCATCCAATTCAGGATCAGTTGGGACCAGGAAGCAGTAGCACTAGGCAGGGAACACCCTGGACAGGATGCCAGTCCATCACTGAGCCACACAGACAAAATCGTACCAGCCTTGATTTTCCCAGAATCCAATTAACTACCAACGTGTCCTTGGGCTGTGGGAAGAAACGGGATCACCTGGAGTTTACCCTTGCAAACTCCACACAGACAGTACCCCAGGTCTGGAACTGAACCCTGGGGCCCAGCACTGTGAGGGAGCAATACTGACTGTACCACCATAGACAGTGAATTCATCACACACTTCATTACAAAATACTTATTAAACAGTAGAAAGGTTACTAGTTTAGTAAACAATTGGACAAAATATATTTTATTTAAGTGTCTCCCTAAACATGTGTGTTTTTCATTGTTTTAATGAACATCATTAAAGAAAAACATTTTTTCAAAGTTTTAATGAACATCAAATAACACATATAAGGAGAAAGGGTACCCAAAAAAGTCAAGTGGAAAAAACACAGAACAATATGTTGCCAGAGTTATTTTTCACGTACTTATTGTAATTTAAGTGATATGGCATTCTGGGCTTGTTAGCATTAGAGGAGGGGTAGCATTAGTCCTTTTTGTTTTGTGAATGTGATATTTACCTATTATTAACAACATTAAATATAAATATTTTTCCATATTACATATTGAAAAGCATAACATGATAACAAGCTCCTTAAATTTTACATTCACATTATTAATCTAAGATTATTAACAACGTTTTGCAAGCCTACAGTCTTTAAACGTTGCTGTTTAAACGGCTCCTGCCAAGTCCGTGCGCGAAGAGACGGGCACCGTGCGCTCGCGAGAGATCGGCCTCCGAACGGAAGTGTGCAGAGCGCCTGCGTGGTAACCCGGAAGCGCTTGTAGAAACTGGAAGGAGCGGACGGTAGTTCTGTGGACTTGCGCTGGTGGGAAGAGGGGTTGTTTTTTGGCGAATTATTTTCAACACAGTAAACATTTCGTCTTATAATTAACATCGCCAAGTAAAAAACATGTAAGTAAGCAGTAGTGTGTTGTAAATTCAGTCGGGCACGGATGTTAATGTGAACCGCGTCGCCGTGTTTGAAGCCCATGGAGGCGGCCGGCGCCTTTGTTAAAGCTTGCAGCGCGTTTTCGGTCAAGCATCGTGGTTCTCAAATCCCGCGTGGGGTGTTTTCTTTTTAATTTCTTATCATGTAATGCCCACAGTCTTGCATTTCCTCGGCTGTGAAGTGACCTACGCGCTACGGTCGTGTGTTTCCTGCATTTAGCAACGGGGCCGAGACTGCTGAGCTCGGAGCACGGTTGTATAGAAATACGGGTGTTCACGGTAGTCGTTTCGCAAACGTAAACTTTAAATAACAGTTTGACTTTAATTGGCTGGGAGCGATCCTCATAATTACTCTCTCCTGGGCTGTATATTCGGCTGCAGGTTTCTACAGTGTCACGGAAGATGCCGTTTGGTAACTAGTAGTGAACAAACACATATCGAACAAACTTTAATACCGGTATGCATACCCTTTTCTTGCAACACGGAGTAAAGACAAATCCCAATCTGGAAAATAGAAAATCCCAACAGTTCGCTTGCGGAGCCTTCCTCGTGTGTGAGGGAGGAAGAGGAAAGGAGGATGACTATGGACCAACTGGTTTGTGAAGAGAATAATAAGAGGGCAAGTGAGGAGGTATCCAGAGGAGCGGTAATCTGAGGTTGAAGTCCAGAGAGAAGTCAGGGATGTGTGGAATGTGCCGACCCAGGCGAGAGTTAAACTCACACGCTGGCCCAGATCCCCTCTGGAGCTTTTTTACAGTGCCGGTCTTGCTGTCTCTCTGCCTGGCCGTTAAGTGCAGCGCAGTGCCCCTCTGATCTCTCCCTCTCTCTCTCCCGCGGGCAGGAGTCTGCTGAACAAGCCCAAGTCGGAGATGACCCCCGAGGAGCTGCAGAAGCGCGAGGAGGAGGAGTTCAACACTGGGCCCCTGTCAGTGCTCACCCAGTCGGTCAAAAACAACACGCAGGTGCTCATCAACTGCCGCAACAACAAGAAGCTGCTGGGCCGCGTCAAGGCCTTCGACAGGTACGGGCCGCCGCCGCCCCGTCCCGCACACACCCCCCCATCCCGGCTCCTCCGGGAGGCAGCCGCCAGCCCTTTTGTGTAACTGATGGCTGATTTAAACTAGGATAGCCAGCAGCTCTGTCACCCTGCAGCTCCCAGCTGGCAGCCCGCTGAAGTTCAGCAGTGTGAGCCTGGTCAGTACCTGGATGGGAGACTCCTGGGAAAAACTGTTTACTGCCGGAAGAGGTTGGACCAGTAGGGGGCGCTCACCCTGCAGTCCATGCGGGTCCTAATGCCCCGGGATAGTGACAGGGACACTATACTGTAAAAAAAAAAAAAGGTGCCATCCTTCAGATGAATAAAACCGAGGTCCTGACTCTCTGTGGTCATTAAAGATCCCAGGGTGTTTCCCCGGCGTTCTGGACAAATTTTCCATTTATTCTGTGATGACGAATCAGTCAGGATGGTTATTATTGACTGCTGGCTTGATAGCATAGATAACAGACCTCCTTGGGCTCCTGGCACTCCCAGGCAGAGGTGCCTGTGTCCCATCGCGCCTGTTGCTGAAATAAGAAGGCACCCTGTTGTTATTTTCTGCCCTAGTTCAGGGAGTCACAGGCAGCTGCGGTAATAACCTTTCCCTTGGAAGACGGTCGTGTCTTTTATTTCCCTCGCTGATCTAACTCAGTGGCTTCAAGCCCTGGAGGAGAAATACCCCCTCCTTGCTTGCATTTATACCCTGCTGTAAGTTTAACCTTATACGGTTGTATGCAAACATCTGGGCGCCCCAAGCCACATTACGTGTTTTGTTCATTTTCTAAGTGACAATAAGTTAACAAAACCTCTGCAGCGAACAAACTTAAACTTGACATATTTCTGCTGATTTCAGTGCAGTCACTGTTTACTTGCTGAATTTAACAGATTGGAAAAATAAAACCGTGAATTGAACCTAATTGACTCGTTAGGCCTTAATCTAAGTCAGGTGGTGACAATTCCAGAGCTTAATAAATTCTGACTCTTCAAACCTCTCAGGGTGTTGTGCTGTATTTAGAAAACCAAATCCTCCACAATTTTACTACCAAACTATTGCATGCCTGTTGCTGGAATTAACTATATGGTATATATTTTATTTTATGGTTTATTTTTTGTTGTTATAAAGCACGTTAAGAATAAGTCCTCATTGTCCAGTTGCTTAAAATCCAAACACCTGAATGCTTATGAATTGTTGATGCTGAGGAAGAGCTCAGGTGGGCTGATACCAGAGGAGATGGGTCTGAGTTTATTAACTGGAACAAAATCATCCTCCAGTCCTCAGTGTGTTGTAAGTGTACATTGGATTAAGATTAATTGTTCAACAACAAACTGGAAAAGACTGATATTCCCCACTGAGAAATTATTGTAATTCGATCCTTTTTCTTTGGAGAAAAGGGAATTTGTCCCAAGGCCTGTAGCTGGCGTGAGGAGTGCGTCTCATGTGGACATTACTTATCATCTTACCAACGTGCTCCTTGCTGGTTTGCAAGGTCACACCGCACGCGACCAGGCCCACATGATGGACACTGAAACCAGACTCGTGTTCTCCTGGCGTCCGGCGGGGTGGAGGGACCAGCATCCCCGAAGCCCCCGGGAGAGCGCCTCATCCGCACTGACCCCCGTCTCTCCTCTCCCCCCTCGCAGGCACTGCAACATGGTGCTGGAGAACGTGAAGGAGATGTGGACCGAGGTTCCAAAGAGCGGCAAGGGAAAGAAGAAGTCCAAGCCCGTTAACAAGGACCGCTACATTTCCAAGATGTTCCTGCGGGGTGATTCAGTCATCGTGGTGCTGAGGAACCCCCTCATCACCGGAAAATAGGTTTCTTTTGGTTTTGGAAGGGGGTACGTTTTGTATGTTTAGGATGTTTTTTTTTTCCTGAATTGTTGACTTTTTTTTAAAAATAAATGTATGTACAGACAAAGCAAGTGTTTGTTTTTAATGTATGAACATGTCCACCATTGTCATCTGCATGTGTGGTCACTCCAGTGTTTTATAGCTTTGGTCAGACTCCAGTTTTAACACGCGTTTCTCCTGCTTTGGGCCAGATTAATCTGGGACGTGGGACGAATATATCACCCAACATGTTTTTTTTTCCGCATTTTAGGACTATTTTGGCTCTGGAGAAAAAAGCCTGACAAGTTGGTGGAAAAATATTATTCACGCATCTTTGTTCTTGGTCACTTTCTTGCATCTGATCATATTTTCTTTCTGAAACGTCTCTTAACGGTTCATTAAAATGACTCGGCAAGCTTGTTACAGGACCTGGTTTGTAGCCTCATCGCCTCTGCTGCCGTGCACCTGCAGAACTCAGGAGAACACAAACTCTGTGAGTAGGCTGTAAAGTACGTCTGCTCTGTTGCAGTCCTGGTCACAAACAATGCAGGACGTGCTACATGTTTTGCCGACTCGGATATCCAAAGTGACTTATATTCGCACCCGTTAATACAGCAGTGTATTTTACTAGAGCTGTCTGAGGGAAGGTTCTTGCTCAAGGGTGCAGCAACAGTGTCTCATCTGGGATTTAAACCCACAATCCTCCCGCTGGGACTCCAGTCTTGTCTGCTGCTCCAAGCGTGTTCTAGCAGAAAGGCCCCATCACTTGCTACTTCTGTAACGAGCAGTTCATCCCTTTCATTGCATGTTATCAGTGCAGAGCTTGCCCTGGGGATGAGTGCGAGGAGGTCCGTTATTCCTGGATCCCCGTCTTCAGCTCCAGTATAATGTAGCAGTACAGTACAGCAGAAGGAAGCGATGGGGGTGGCTGCTGTTCGATAGGGGATCCCCGTCCTGCCTCCCCATAAGTACTGCTTCACTTACAATCCTGGAGTGAAAATCCCGAACACACTGGTGTGCAAAGACTCCCTTTTAGTGCCCTTCTCTATTGACAGAGAGGGCGAAGCCCCAGTCCAAGCGACAAGCTCATCTGCGAGTTCAACTGTCCAGTGTCCAGAGAGCTGTGGACACTGCTACTCCACTCCGCCCCCAGGTGGGCGGCGCTCAGGGGCTGCCTGGGGCAGAACCAGTGCTGTCTCTAGCTGCGCTTCTCTCTCCCGCTGGCTCATCCACTCCTGCCCCTGGGAGTACCCTGGCACGTGGGCCGTGGGGAAGGCAGCGATTCTCCACCAGTGGGCTGCGGCACTGGTGCAGAAGGTACACAATAGAGCTGAGAAGCCTTGGTCTGCAGTTTAGAGACACATATACGTGTATATACATGTCTTATTATACTTTTGCATAGATGACTGCAAATGTCCCAGTTCTTCGGGATTGCCTTCCGCAGGGATAGAGGGGAGGGACGGGGCTGAGGGGTTGAGCTCTGTGTGTGTGCAGCACATCTTCACACGCTGGCAGGGCGGAGTCGACTCTAGCAGGCGCTAGAGCCTCCAGCACGGAGACCGGGAGGGCTGTCGGGAGACGATGACCTCATCCACAGACGCTTCCTCGCCATGAATTATTGAGCAGGACCCCCGGGGGGGGAGCGCTGACGGGTGGCGTGTTCCGACACCGGGCCCAGGGGCGCAGGGTGTGTCCTGGCCGTTGCTGGTTCGAACCCAGGTGTGCCGATTTTGTGGAACGTGGCCAGGAGCTCCCAGGGAGCAGGGCGTAACTGGCTGCTGGAGTCAGGGGTGACTCTCGCTCAAGGGTGAGACAGGACGGACCTGGCAGCCCCTCTGTGCCCTATGCTGAAGCTTCAACTTCAGAATCCGCTGGATTCCTCTTCTAAGTGTTGGGCCCGATGAGTGTTGCCCAGCCCAGGCTGACACAGTGAAGCCAGCGGAAGGGAAGAGGCGTTGCAGTCGTCCAGGACGCGTGACCGAGGAGCAGGCCTGGGGCGAGTTGGCGCGGGCAGGCTTCCCAGAGGGTGACTGCTGCCCCCCCCCGCCTCCAGCCCGCTCTGTGAGACTCAAACAGTACACCGCTGTTTTTACAGACTACTCAAAATCCGACACCTCTGAGCAGTGCTCTGAAAAAACAAATTTACTTAAAGTATTAATTACAGCCGGGGGAGCGATCGATATCGGCAACAAACTGCCGTTTAAAAGGCTGCTGAATTATTGATGCAGCCAGATGTGCTGACAGGCGCTTTATCACAGCCCTCCCAAGCGAAGCTCGGCTGAGGCAGGGCACGAGGGAGCCATCTGGTTCGGTGGCATGTCCTGACCCCCTGGATGGAGGATGTGGAAGCTGGTTTCTGTACGGTGTGGGACAGTGTGGGGGGTGGAGTGTGGGTCACAGTGGCTGAAAGTGGACCTTTAGTGTAACATCTCCAATAGCTGCTACCGGTCTTCTTTCAATGAATGGCAGGGTGAGATTCTCTAATAAGAACGGGAAGCCCATCTTTACACAAAGAGTGGTGGGAGTTTGGTACACGCAGACCGAGACCACGGATCAATGAGCTACAAACTACCCAACGAGCTGAAAGGGCTGAACGGCCACCTCTTCTTCAAAGGTATTTTGTTCCGCTGGGAAAACCGACGGATCCAAACTGTCAGACACCTCTGAGCTCTTCACAGTGCCACCAGTCTGTGATTTAATTTCTCTTCTTTTTCTTTCATATTCTATGTGAATGACAAAACAAGTCATCAGGAATGAAGCAGGGGGCCAAACATCCTAGAAAGGGCAGTTTTGAGCCATCGTACACCTGTTACAGACGACACAAAAATGTTGTGCGGCAAAACACCCTGAATAAAACTGAGCACAGCCTGACCCCATGTCACATGCAAGGCCGGCGTTTGACCTGCTCTTGCAGGGCTTCTCTGGGGCGCTTGAACAGTCTCAGTGCTGTCTGGGTGTGCTCTTGCACTCTCTCTCCTCCCTCCTTCTGTCCGACTCTCCGTTTCATTCCCTCTCTCTCGTGGCTCGTGTCTGGCGAAGGCTGCAGACATGTTTGTCGTTGTAACCTGAGCCCACACCCATCAGGGTGTGATGACAGCCGTGAGAGGTCAGAGGTCACCAGCTGCTCAGGAGCTCTGCTTACAGCTACATTAAAAAAAATAAAAGACAACCTGTCTTAATTAATTGCCCTTCTCGAGGAGGTTGTAGAGTCGTTTGCCTTGTGGGAATGAGGAGATTCTTGTGAAGAGGGTACAGGAGTTCAGGAGGAACTTGTTTTATGGTGCTGGAGTCGTAGGCTACTGAGGAACCGTTTTCATGCCTAGCTTTGTGTATGTTTCTGATGGAGCAGGATTTCCACTATACAGCACACTGTTTCTAAGACACCCCGTCATAACAAATTGTGGGTTTGAAATCTGTGGTCTCCTCTCCAGCCAGGCAAAAAATCTGACAGTTCTGTGCTTGAGAAAGGTGCTTGTCAGTTAACAGAGCTGCAGATCACTGCGCGGTGTCAGTACATTTTCTCCACTCTAGCCAGTTCCAGAATAGAGATTGCAGCTGTGGAACCAGCACAGAGAGGAGTGATAGGCGTGCAGGTGAAAGACAGGATCTATTGAGGCTTGGGCAGAGAAGACCAGGAAGGCATTCAACAGTTCAAAATCCTTTCAGGGCATTAGAGTACTCACCTCACTGAATCGCTAGTGAAACACAAACCAGGAGATACAAATGTAGAGCTTGCATTTGCAACTGAGACCAACTTTACACAAAGGGGTGTGGGAGTCTGAAACAAGCTGCCCAGCCATGCTGTTAAGCCCCACCGTCTTGTAACAACGACATCCTTGTATCACACAGGTGCCCTTCGCACAGCGCTTTGGAGCTTCAGCGACTGCAGGACAGCGTGCTCATGAGCTTGCTGTGTGACCTCCGACCTCAGGTGGGGAGCTGCGTCAGCACGCCTAGGCTGCACAGGAGCAAGTAAAGGCTGATTCCTGCGGAAAAGAGAAGAAAGAAAACACAACGTTGTGTTTCTTTTGATCTTCTGAATAAGTTCCGTTCTGCGTCTTAGGTAGAATTTTCCAATTAAAAGGAATATTTTTTTTTTCTCCGAAAACAACGACGTTAATGTCCAAAACCGTTTCCTCCCGAGCCAAAACAGCGGGCTCTCCGCGCGACACAAGCCGCTGACGAAGCGCGCACGTGCGCGCCTCGAGGACTCGGCCCCCCCACCTGCCAGGCGTGCAGGTGCGCGTCTCACCTTCAGCTGTACCCCCGGGGCTCGGAGAACTTCGCTCTGTGAAACTCGCCGCCCTCCCCCCTTCCTCCGTTCAAAGCCTAATCGCCCCATTACATCATCCTCAGCACCTTGCGCCTAGCCCCACTGGCCTGATAAGGATATGGAGGGCATATATCACTCAGGCTCGAGGAAACATCACCCCGATGCTTGGGGTTTTATAGTGAGAAAGGGGAGCTTTTCTTCCTGTGAGCGTGAAACTCAATCCGTCTCAGACATCCAGCGCGTTCAAGGTGCAGCTCCTGCTCCGCGTGCCCCGTCACTCTCCCTGAGGCGCGCTCCCGCGTCCCTCCGCGGCGCGCCCCTGCGCCGGGTCCCCCCGCCGTCAGTGTTTCTGCAGCCCCGCTGCTCCCCTGTCCGCGGCCGGTGGCGCAGGAGCAGCTCCAGCAGCGGGACTGGAGTCATGTCGGCTCAGGCGTGCTGGGCTGTCCGGTGTAACGGCCGCGTAGTGCGCCACAGCGTGGAAACCAACTGCCGACAAAAGCGCCGTGTAGCCACGGCTCTCTTTAAATAAGGAATCGCAAATAATTCCAGTGTTTCACTCCGTCACGACTGCTCCGTCAAGGGCGTTGTTTGGGCAGGATGTTCTGTTCCAGACGGATACTGGCAAGCGTTCCTGAAAGAGCTGTTGTTTCCTGCAAGAATGGATTTCCAAGAACGAAATGTCTAGTTTTGGAGCTGCAGGGGTAACTTGTCCTAATTCTGGGGGCACAAATAGGAGAGAGAGAGTCATGATGTAAAGGTTCGATGCAGGACAGACCCCTTGCTGTCATGTCAGGTTTCCCTTTGCTGCCTGGCCACATGTGCTGAAACGGTGACCTTTGACCTCAAAGGGGGTCAGGGCTCCGGGCCTCCGCTTTCTCTGGGGTTCAGCACCATGGGAGCTAAATGATTCCCAACTTGAAATTAAATAAAAAAAACTCAATCAAAAACGGGACACGGGCTGGTGGGAAAGAGGGAGTGGCACCCTCTGCTGATAAGCTCAGTCCACCTGAGCTGCAATTTGGCACCACTGCTTAAATTAATCTCCCGGATCTGAGGTCAGCGCAGACATGTGTTTACTGCTTTGTGCAGGGCTGCGCTCTGAAACACCAGGGACATGTAGTCTGCACACAATAGCTCATTGTCTGACA